CTCAGTGCGAACAAAACGAAGGGGCCCGTCGCAGAATCCGAAACGTCGCCCAGGCCCGCCAGCTCGAGACATCTGGTCCCCGGCAGGGCCCGTCATCCGTGTTGTCCTGGTTACAGGAAGCAAGAGGTTGGCTTTACACAGATCCCCAAAACTGTTCACCCCTTGAACAAGTGGCTCCGCTTCTAGGAATCTCTCCCCAGGAGAGGATCTTAAACTCTGAAAATGATGTATTCATACTCGTGGGGAGCTGAAAATAACCAACAGCAAGGGACTCGTCAGATGCACTCTGCAACATCCAGTCCACGGACAGCTAGGCTGCTGGCAACAGGCGGGTCTTCGAAGACTGTGGGGGACCGGAGAATGCCTGACGCCAGCCGAGAGACACAGGCCGGTGAACAGAGGTGGTGGTCGGGAACATCCAGCCCGTTTTCAGTCGCAAACTCTCCCACAAAAAAGACAGAACAGAGTCTGCAGAGACAGCCCACGGAGGCTGTCTGCACGCCGCCACAGGCCTGCCTGCTTCCTGCTTCTCTGCATTTTCTAATGAGCATGCACTATCTTCCTTTTTTAATTAATAAGTGCTTTCTGGAGAAAGAATTCAGCACGCTGCCAAAATTCGTGGCAGGGCCTGGGCTCTGGGCCAACGTGATCTTCACTAAGGGCACCATGGCAACTTCTCCAGGAACAGTCAGGGACTCTCGACCCAGGACACTGGCCCGGCCCTTCCGCACACCAGCCATCCAGCCGGAGGCCATCGGTGGCAGACAGATGTTCCCAAAGGCAGAGCACTCTTGCTCTCCGCTGCCAGGCCACCCCTCCCTTGCATCAGATGGTAACAGGGCAAATAAATAAGGGAAACCGCAGAGAAATACAACCTGGGCGGGCCCGGCCAAGGCCCCTGGAGCACGCTGACTGCAAATGGGTCTGGTCCCCGTGAGAGTCCGGCCGGGCCAGCCGGAGGGGCCCTCTCCAGACCTCGCAGTGGGGCGCTCGCTCCCGAGCCGCCTCCCGCTACCCGCCTCGCCCCAGACCTGCGCCGTGGAGGCGTTTAAGGGTTAGGGGCTTGTCCCACTCAAGTGGAGACCAGCCACATCATTTACGGGTTATGTGACCTTGGACAACCCACCTGACCTTCCTCCCCGCACCTCAGTGTCCTCACCCACAAAGACAGAATTCAACGCCAGATTCTCTGGGCTCTGGTGAGAATCACATGGGAGGAGGGGGGAGGCCGGGACAGGCTGGCAGGCCTGGCTGGCCCATCTCGGTCACCTGCCTTGGTTTCTCCTTTCTCAAGATTCTTTCACAGCCCAGGCTCCCTGCAGGCGCCTGACGGGCGCCCAGTCCACAGCGCACTGACGCCACGCTGGCGTCTCCCCCGCTGCACAGGTGCTGGCCTGGGTCCTGAGAGCCCGGCCCGCACCCCACATGGTCTTTCTCTCCCCCAAGGGCAGCTCCGCGCCTGAGCCATCAGGTGCACACACCTCCCTCACCGCACAGCCCGCCCGCGCCGGCCCACCGGACATCCCAGCGGGCGTCGCCCTACTCCGCCCCTGCCCGGGCCCGCAGCCTCCAGCAGCCCCAGCGCCGCGTCTGCGTCAGCAGCGTGGGGGACGGCAGGCCAGGCTCTGCCGCACCTATCTGCACCCTGCAGCACAGGCTCCTTTGCAAAGCAAACCCCACCGCGCCCGTCCTGCTCTGAAACCCGTCCTGGCTCCCCACTGCCGCCAAGTTGGAGGCTCTCGCCGCCGCGTGGCCCTCAGCGCTGCGCACCTCCTCCTGCCTTCTCTGAGACTACATCCTGCCTCCTCGTGTCCTGAGTGGCTCTGCCTTGGACAGCCGTGGCCTCTGCCCCGTCAGGACCTTTGCTCACACTGTCCCCTCTGCCTGGAAACTCCGTCATCTCCCGATCACCCCTGGGCACGCCTGATCCCTGGGCGGAGCATCTCCTAGTGTTGCGGCAGTGTGTACAGCCAGCGTCACAGCTCGTATTCGTTTGACCTGGGAAAGAACCGGGCGGCACACAAAGAGTCGGAGAACAGCCTTTATTCTTCTACAGCAGGCTCAGCACACCTAGTGTTACAGCTCTCTCCGTGTCTTCCCATGTTCTCCCCTTCCTGCCCTTCTGCCCCTGCTTTTATACCCGTGGTAGGGCTCAAGAAGTGTCCAATCAACCACAAGTTTTAGCATCCAATCAGCAACAGGCTTTAACATCCAATCAACAACAAGCTTTAACACTCAATCAAAAACAGTGGATTCAAAAATTACTCAATCAGGATCACGCAAACTGCGTGGCGGGAAACAGGCAGCAGCACCTGGGCCTGGGGGCATTCCGGCATGCGGAATCCTGGCGGCACGCGGGGCCCGGCCCTAGCAGCGTGCCCTCCAACTGGCCACACGCAGCGCTGGCCCTCAGAGATGCAGAGCAACGGGGAGGCTGCAAGGGGCCGCATCCCGGCGCCCGCCATTTTCCACATCACTAGTACCGTCCCCTCCCCAGCAGTTACCACAGTTGGGGCAATTAAATAAGGAACCTCAGAATTCATTCTTTAATGCCGGTGTGCCCTGACACTCAGGCGGGTACTGGGTCTGCCTGGTTCCTCACCATCTCTCAGCCCTGCCTGGGGCACAGGAGGCCCTCAGCCTACATGCACTGAATGAATGAATGAACAAACGAACGAACGAACAAACGAACGCAGCCTTGTGCTGTGACTCAGAGAGGTAGCCCCTGCCCTCCACGGCCCAACACACATGCACAGGCACACCACACGCACATGGGTGATAGGAAGGGAGGAACACTGGCTTAGGAGTCTAAGATCTGGCTCAAGTCTCCGTTCTCCCACGGTCACTGTGGTTCACAGCAAGCCCTTTTCCTCCCCAGGCCTCAGCTTCCTCACCCGGTCAGTGGGTCTGCACAGAAGCTGCACCTGCCCTCCAGGAGCTGAGAGCCCAACAGGCCCAGCAGCAAGTAGCACAGAGTGGGGACGGCCCAGAGGGGGTGACGCTGGGAAGGGCTGAGGGCGGAGGGCCCACATTTCTCCTCAGCCACCCGCTTCCCAAAAGGCTTCCCCAGCACTTTCTAATTCCCACTGACCCCTCAGGAGAGCACTGCTCCATGCCCCATTTTACAGATGAGGAAACTGAGACCCAAGGCCCACTCTCCCCACTCTAGGGTGCAGCCCCTCTGCTCTTCTCCATGGGAGGGGGAGATCAGAGGTGCAGAGACGCGGGGAAATGAAGGGAGGATCACATTGGCAGCGTGGAGAGGAGAGAAAACGAAATCCCCACGGTGAGAAGGGAACTAGTTTCCCTGCAGGTCAAAGGAGGTGTCAGCACCGCAGCAAAAACAGCCCTGTGCGTCTGGCGTGGTCTTCTGTGAGCCTTCCCTCCTGTGCACGTGGCTGGAAGTTAAGGTCAGAGACAGTGGAGTGCTACGGTGGATGGAGTCCAGATGGCAGGTCACTACTCAGAGAGCCGCTTTACAGACAGGGAAACCGAGGCCCAGAGACATCGAGTCGCTCGCCCAAGGCTGCATGGTGAGCATGAAACATTCTCCCCACTGACCATTTTACTCCACGCTCTGGGCAGGGCGAGAGAGGACATTCAGAATACTAAAGCAGGCACAGGTATTTATAGAGCACAAGTCCAAGTTCATAGCAACGTTAAGGCTCGAAGACACCTGGGAGTGGAGTGACTCTGCACACAGCCCCCACCCCCAGGCAGCCTGCTTGCCGTCCACGCAGCTGTGATCCCGGCCACATGATCCCGGCCACAGAGATCCCGCCACATGATCCCGGCCACATGATCCCGGCCACAGTGATCCCGGCCACATGATCCCGGCCACATGATCCCGGCCACAGTGATCCCGGCCACATGATCCCGGCCACAGTGATCCTGGCCACAGTGATCCCGGCCACATGATCCCGGCCACATGATCCCGGCCACAGAGATCCCGGCCACATGATCCCAGCCACAAGCAAGCATGCACTTGACCAGCGCCTGCGCCCGCGCGCCACGTCCCGTGTGGGGAGCTTCACTCTGACCCACCCACAGCCCGCAAGGTGGGTGCAGGCCCAAGTCCCCTACCAAAGCTCCAGTTTCAAGACACTTTTGACAACCTAAAAGTCTAAAACCCATTTGGCAGCAAAACGTGACACACTGCCCTCCAGTCCCCCAAACAGGAAACTATTAGAAGAGAAAAAAATGTCAAGATGATAACTTCAAGGCAATGGGACAAAAAGAAAATTGTTCACTGCTTTATGAGTGTCTGTGTGCATGCTCCTGTCTCTCACAGCGAGCTGGCATGGCTGCTATAGTAAGAGAGGAAAACAGGCATTTAAAAAGAAGGTCGGGAAGGGGTGTCTAGGAGAGGGTTTAAGTCCTTGCCCTTGTTCCTTGCAGCTACGGGTCTGTGGTCCTGCTGCTCTTGGTGCCAGTGCCAGCTGGGACAAGGGCCTTCCCTGCTCCCCAGCAAACCCAGACATCTCCACACGTCCATGCGGTGCGAGTGCTGGGCCACACGGACTGGACCCGCCCAGCCTGCGGTCAGCTGCTGGCCAGCCCGGCCACTCAGCTGCCTGCAGCCCTGGGACAGAGCCACTTGGGGAGGCACGGTAGCCCCACCCCCACCCCGTGGGTGCCCTCCCCCAGACGCCGGGAGTGTTGGGTCCACTCTGAGGGCTGCTTTTCTGGCAACCAGAGGGAATGCTCGTCCTTGTCCCCTAGCTGCAACCAGGTGGCTTCAGGTGATGATGGCAATGGGATCCTTAGAAAGCACAACCCAAGGCCAGGCCCCATGGCACCGGGGAGGACCGGCCACCTGCCAGCTGCCACCTCCATTTGGGATGTGCAAATAGCCCATGTTTGTTCATCCATGCCACCCCTGAGACTCACAGCTTTTATCCTTGAAGTGCTGCTGATAGGAGAGTCTGGAAAATGCTAACACAGGAGGAGACTCCCGCGGAGTTATAACGAAAAGCTTTACATAAATTGTGATGTTTCACTCATGTCCAGGTCTGGGAGGGCTTTATTAACTGCGGCTCGGTCTTTTTAGCTGTTGCCACTGGTCCACGTTGCTGACTTCGATGCATTCCGGTCATCAGACATTGATCACATGCCCACTAGGCACCATCCCAGGCACCACCAGGAGGCTTCACTCATCAACAGATAGTTACCAAGCGCCCACTCGGAGCCGGGCAGGGTGGCAGGCACTGCAGAACAATAGGGGATGACCGCCAGGCCTGGCCTGCAAGGGACTGAACACAGATACGTGATGTCAAAGACGGTGCCGTGGGCTCCAAGCTGTGAACTCCAGGAAGGCTTCCTGGAGAAGGAAATGCCAGGCTGAATCCCAAGGAAAAGAAGTGGACGAAAGCAGGGGAAGGAAGGCCTCCGGGGTACCAAGACCTACACCTGCGAAGGCCCAGAGGGAGGGAACCTCAATCGCTAATCCAGAAAGCACACAGATTCTCAAGGAATGCTTCCCAAACTGCATCTGGGTTCTCCAGATGAAAGGTATAGGTGTACCACCTACACCTGGTTGACCTGAACAGGTAGTTTTCCATTGTTAGCTCCCCAAGTCTAACCTTAGTGCTAAGCCCAGAGGAGGAGGACCCATTGGCCAGTAAGGCCAACACAGACGGCTGTGACCCAGGGCAGCACCACTGACCCCATGGAAAACCAGCGGAGAGAAGGGAAGGCTTCCTGGAGGAGGTAGCAGCAGGGTTGGGGCAGCAACCATGTCAACCAAGAAGAGCTCACACCGAGGACCCTGCTATGGACTGAATTGTGTCCCTGCCAGACTCACATATTGAAGTCCTAAGGCCCGAATGTGACTGTATCTGGAGTCAGGGGCTGTAAGAAGGAATTAATGATTAAGGCTAAAGGAAGTGGTAAGAGCAGGGCCTTAATCCAAGAGAACTGTGGCCTTATGAGAGGAAGGAGGCATCCCCCTCTCTCTCCACCACGTGGGGACACGCCGACAAGGCCAGCCATCTGTGAGCCACGACGCGCACCTTGCCCCAGACCTCCAGCTCTGCAACCACAAGAACCCAGTTTCTACTGTTCAAGCCGCCGTCTGTGGGCGTGGTCGGGCAGCCCCCGCAGGCCGACACAGAGCCGCCCCCCTCGGCCACCGTGGTCCCCGAACGCGCGGGGTGTCAGTTGAGGTAGCGGCCAGCCCGCACCCAGCAAGGCTCCCTGCTCTCAGGCTGCGGCGTGGACACGCAGGAAGCCCCAAGAGTCGCGAGGAGGGTTCCAGTTCTCACGGCCCGCTGGCCTCCTCCTCCAGGCACCACCCGGGGACGTGGGTGACAATCCCAGCTGTCACGGAGCTTCTCCGCAGATCAACAGAGCTTGTTCGTTAACGTAGCCACGCGCTTAAATTTTTAAGCGCTGCCTCAAAACCCCAGAGGATGCTGTCTGAGAGCATCAGCCGCAGCCAATGGCATGAACCACTTTCCATAAGGGCCTCCCGCCATCGGGAGGGTCAGTGCCGAGGAACCCGCTCGGCTCCCGCACCCAGGAGGCTGACAAGGCCTCGAGAGGCGGCCTCAGATCCGCCTTATACGGACGGTTTAAATGCTTTTCCTCCAAACAAGAAAACATTTTTAAAATAGCAAAGAAACAGCCTTTCCTTCAAAGTATAAACCACCTTTAAAAACTCGCCCATGTCCTTGGCCTTTTATTCCCCTCGACGGGAAGACCACAAACCCACAGCCCCCGGACACCAGATCAATACTTCGGAATTATAAGCAGCTATTTTTTTTCTCTCAGTCAAGTGTCAAATTAAAGACAGTCAATACCAGGAGTATAGTATCTCTCTGGAGATAAAAAGACAAATAACCTGTTGGATGAACTCTGAACTTGTAAAATCAGACTTTCTCTCCCGAGGATGGCAGGAAGCCCCCCACCCCGAGGGCAGCCCTCCCACGCTAAGTGCAGACGGCCGTGAATTAGGGGCTCCTGCCACCAAAAGAGGAAAGGCCCGCGCCACCCCACCTGCCAACCTGGGTGCCGCGGCAAAGGGCAGTGTCCCCAGCCCCCCAACATCTTCCAGCAGGCACGGTTTCCACTCCTGGGCTTGACTGCCGCTCTGAGAGCCCAGGGAGGCTCTCGCAGAGGGAAGGGTCCCGAAGGCAGGCACAGCTGCCTGGGAGCCCGGGAGCCTCCCAGGGTGTGTCAGCCCCTGAGGCCTGGCGGTCCCCTGCCCGCGGTCGCTCACACCCAGAGCGCTTCTTCCCAAGCGTGTCTTCCACCCTGATCATCTGGACTGTCCCGTGGGCGGGTTATTAAGGAGACTTCACATCCAGCACGAGGAAGGCGGGAGAGCCCCAGTCCTGTCCTCGGGGAGTGCACAGGTAGTCAGCACAGGAGGCGGCGGCCCAGGCAGCACGGGGAGCCGTGCAAACCCAAAAGAGAGAAAGGAAGGCTTCCTAGAGGCGGCGGCTCCCAGGCTGGGCCCTGCTCCTCTCTCTACTCCCACTGACTGGTGTCGTCTCAGTCAGACCCATTCAGTCACCAGATCCACCCCCCAACGCTCACTCAGGACACTCTCCTGTGGCACCTTCCATGGCTCCTGCTGCCTAAAGAGCAAGGCTCAGTCTCCGTGGCGGGGGCCCAGCCGCCCCCCGTCTGCCTAGATACCCTGCTCCGTCCGTCTGCCCAGGCCAGCTCTGCTTGAGGCCATGAACAGAAGCAGCCCCTGGGTCACGAAGGGGAAAGTGCCAGGCGGGAAGGCAAGAGACCAGGGTTCGAGCCCCAGCTCTGTTCAGGCCTCTGCCACTGTGACCACGTCCCTCTCCAGGCCCGTGTCCCCCCTCAGTAAAATGTAGGGGCTGGCCCAGGACCAAGTGGCACCCACGTCCCCTTCCTGCCCTGGCGCCAGCCAGGCCCGCCTGCAGCCCTTCGTCCTGGCGGCCGGCAGCACCTGGGAGAAGAGAAGCAGCAGCCGGGAAAGACGGGTCTGCAACTCCAGGCCTCGCAGATCGCTTTCCCCCTCCTTCCACGGCCCTCTGTCCCGCCCCGGTGGGCAGCTGCCTCCCGTGCCCAGGCCGCCGCGGGCCGGCTCCGCTGCTCCACACAGGCCCGGTCTCCCCGCAGCGTCTCCCTGGCCAGGCGCCCACATCCGGCATCTCCCCCTTCCCCACTCCTCACGAGAGAAGACAAGGGTCCGAGTCACCCAGGGAGGACAAACCCAGGCCCGGTGACCCAGCTGGCGACTCTAGGAGATTGCTGACAAGCTCAGCGGCAGGGCGGGGGACGTCTGTCACACCCAACACGAAGAGGCGAGGGGAGGATGGCTGGGAGGCAGGCAGCCTCCGGCAGGGCAGCTGCCTCTGGGTGGGGCACGGAGCACGGTGCCCAGCCATGGTGATGGCGGATGGTGGCACTGGCCCGGCCCCCAGACCCCTGTGCCACGCTGCAGCCCCGGCTGCTGGCCTCCCGCCAGGCGCCCAAATCAGGGCGCACTGCACATCTCAGAAACACGCCACCTCCGTGGGAGCGTCTTGAACTCGCTCTCAGTGTTGCTCTAGCAGCCAGCACCCCCCACACTCCCTGCACCCTTGGGACTCTGCAGCCTGAGCCAGACTAAGAGAAAAGGAGATTTGATTCAGCTCAGAGTGCTCTGGTAGCTTCTGCTGGCGGCCTGGTGCTCCAGCGAGGAAGGAAGGACGAGCCCCCAGAGAATCTGCCTGGTAGCACAGGCACCTCCCCCAGCCCCAGCTGCTCCCTCTGCCCCCGCCAGATGTCGGGGTTGGAGGGCTGCTGCCAGGCGCAGCAGAAAACACAGGGAAGGGGGGCCCACACCCCTGCTCGAGGAGGCCACCCCGTCTCCCGGGGAAGAAAACCACGCTCTCAATAGAAAATCGAAATCCACCACCCACTGCCGCCAGCCAGGCCTCTGCAGAGCTCTGGTGGGACGTGAGATCCTGTGCAGTGGGGGGCTGGGTGGGCCCCCAAAGCCACACGTCCACATCCTAATGCACACGCCCTATGACGGGTCCTTATTTGGAAAGGAGGCCTTTGCAGCTATAATTAAATGAAGGATCACAAATAAGGAGATCCTTATTTGAGGATCTGCCCCTGCCCCCTTCCAGCTCACCCCACTCTCTGCTCCCCTTCACAGCAGCCCAGAAAAGAACCGCATATCAGTGTCCCCACCTCCTCCAGGCCCTCCCCAGGGACATTCGTCCTGGAACTCCCTACAACTCAGCCGCCTCATACCATACATCATGTGTTGGCTCAGCATCTGTCTCCCTCAGGGACGCGAAGCCCAAAGATGCAGGCACCTGGTCTTGCTCACCTTGGCGTGCTAGAAGGGTAGGTAGAATGCAGTGTACACTCCACAGATGTTTAGCGAGTGAGTGCGTAAGTGAAGGAATGAGTGAATGAATGAATGGGTGAATAAATGAATGAATTAGTAGTTGAATAAATTCTTACCTAGACTTCCCACTCCACATGCTCAGACCCTCCCTCTCCAGCTGTCCTAGCAGATGGGCACCTAAGTAGGCGGTGTTTGCAGATGAAGCCCCCATAGCCAGGGGTTGAGAACAGAGGCCCTAGGACCAGCCCCACTGAGATGTGAATCCCAGCTCCACCACCTGCTCTAGGTTCCACAGGGCCAGACCCTATTGTTTAAAGGGGTGGAGGGGCCAATTCTGGTTTTTGGTTTTTTTGACAGAGTCTCACTCTATTGCCCGGGCTAGAGTGCCATGGTGTCAGCCTAGCTCACAGCAACCTCAAACTCCTGGGCTCAAATAATCCTTCTGCCTCAGCCTCCCGAATAGCTGGGACTATAGGCATGCGCCACCATGCCCGGCTAATTTTTTCTATATATTTTTAGAAAATATATAGAAAATTATTTAATTTAATTTTTTAAATTAATTAATTAATTCTTAATTTCTTTCTATTTTTAGTAGAAACGGGGTCTCACTCTTGCTCAGGCTGGTTTCAAACCTGACCTTGAGCGATCCTCCCGCCTCGGCCTCCCAGAGCGCTAGGATTATAGCTGTGAGCCACTGCGCCTGGCCCGATTCTGTTTTAAACCATGACTATAGTTTTGGGAAACCTCACAGCCTTTCAGAAAGCCCCTGAATAATTGCATGTTGCTATTTAAACATGTGTTGGAGGCAAAGGCTCCTCGGACCTGCGAGACAGAGGAACTGCAGCCTGTGTGGACAGCATCTTCCCGTCAGTAGCGACAGCCTCCCTCTTGGGCCACCAGTGGGGCCTGGGAACAGGGCCACAAAAGCGGCCCGGGGCTGAGTTACGCGGAAGGATGAGAGTGGAGAAGCGGGGCCCTGTGATGAGAATGAGTCTGCGGCAAAGGTGGGGCCACGGCGGTTTCCTTTCTGCCCGGGAGCCCCATGGGCAGAGTGGTAAGGGGCACTTTCAGGGCAGGTGTGTGGCAATCCCAGCGCACACTGGAAGTGTCCTGTGGCCTGGAGCAGACGCCGGCCACCACGTCACAGCGAGTCCTCGGCATGAACTCTAGCGTCTCTCAGCCCTGAGCCTGCCGAGCGTGGAGAAAGCCCTGTGCAGCAGGCAGCAGGGGAGGGCAGGGGCGGGCGGTCTCCAGAGCACAGCTGCTGAGCTCAGACCACCGTGAGTTCGCGGGCCGGAGAGGGGACGCCCAAGAGCCAAATCAGAGCGCCACAAAGACATGAGAGCGGTTCGCCAGCTGCCAGCCCAATCTCAGAGCAGGGCGCAGCGCAAGCTGTCACGAGAGTGACCCTGCACTCCGATGCCATCAGTGACACCGACAAGGAAAAATAGTTTCATGCAGCACAGAGAACGCTGCAGGCCTCCAGTTGTTCTCTGCTGGGCTTTCCCACACATCTCCTTTTGCAGAGCTGTGCTCGGAAAGTTCAGAGACCCGAGGGGCCAGGCACATCTGGACAAGTGACTTGCATTTGTGTCACGGCTGTTCTGTGGTTTACACTTAAGTAAGTTCTGGCACCAGGCCGTTTGAGCAGCGGGAGGAAGACGCTCAGCTATTTATTCACACGTCAAGTCACTGCTGCGGCTCCGGCCGGACACCTGCCTCACTGCACGGTGACGCTTCCGGAGAGTCACTGGGCACCAGGCTCTGGCCTAGAGGCAGGCTCGGCTCACTTCATTCACCGGACTGTGGCGGTGCGTTCCTTCCTCGGTCAGTACTAGTCATCGCTGCATCTTGCCAGAGGGAAACTGACGCACAGAGCGGTGACATAACAATGGCCGGACCAGATCCCAGCATCTGCCCTCCCGACACACTGCATTCCAGCCATTGTAAGTGACAGCTGAAAGAAACTGCCCCTGCGTTTACTGCAAGGATGTGGGCCCACCCCACCACCGATGTCACCGTTCAGCCCAGAAATGTTTCCTGAGCAACCGCTTCACTTTTATCTAGTCATCTTTCCCTCTTTACTTTGCTTCTAGGAAGCTCAGAGCCCAATCCACGGCCCACCTGCAGCAACACCAGGAGCACTTCCTATGCTGAGCCTGCCCCTAGCTCCCTCAGATTTTGCCTTTGTCTTTGCTGATTTTATTTTTACACTGTTTTCACATCTTTGTAAGCCACCTCACTTCTTCTTTTTGAACAACACCCAAAAAATGGAGGGGAAGGGGTGTATCAAATCAACAAAGAAGAACACTTAAACTATGTTTCCGGGGCTCCCTGCAGACAGCTGGGATCACAGCTGGGATTTCAGCGCCCCAAGCTGAAGCACCTGAGCAAAACCTCATTTAGGTGGAGAGAGGCGGTGTATGAGACAGCTGTCTTGCAGGGTGGATGGTGCCCAGCAAGGTGGTTCCAGGAACAGGGACCTGCCAATTGCTGGCTTCCAGCTGCAGCCAGCCCTGCAGGGCTTTCAGAAGCCAGCTCTTGGAGCACCAGGCCTAGCATGCTTCTCATCCCCTTCCGAGGATTTGTGAGCGGGTAATCCCCAGGTTCGATCCCTTGCAGGTAAGCCAGCTCTTTTACCAGCACCTGCATCCAGACAGATTCATTCTGCTCGAGAGGCGGAGACGGAGCACGCAGAGGCTGCGCCTGCGCTCTGGCGGTGCCTGTCCCGTCCGAGGACAGTGGGCCCCATGCGCAAGCGTGCCAGGCCCACACATCAGAGACACTTGGCAATGCCTGTTGAGGGAAGCGGGGGATGTGGCTGATCTATGAAACACAGGTGCACTGGGACCTCTCCATTGTAAAACTGGCAGCGCGCCCGATCAAATCACCTGACAGGCCGAGCTAGAACTCTGGGGAAGGGAGTGCTAAGTGGACCCGGGTTGGTTCCCACCACTTGGAAATTGTCGTCCTCGTAAACAACTTGCCTGGGCTATCACACGAGTACGGGCCTTCACCCCCACCCCAATTTAAAACTAGAGGCAAAGCCCTGTGACACCTGAGAAGCTCATAATTATGAAACCCCATTTCAGTGAACTAAGTCCTCGCCAGGTAGACATCTGCGTTGGCAATGCGATTAGACTTGGCTGCTTGGAGGGAGGGAGAGAGGGAGGAAAGGAGGGAGGGAGGAAAAGAGGGAGGCAGGGAGGAAAGGAGGGAGGGAGGGACGGAGGGAGGGAGGGAGGCTGCTGCGTGAGAGGCCCCGTGATGCCCAAGCGGACCTTCTGCCAGGTGGGGCTCACGCTGTCCACGGCAACACCTCCTGCCAGGCCCAGGGTGCAGCTCTGCCGCAGATGGCGGAGAGGGCCCGGTTCTGCCACTGCTCTGCAAATTCAGCAAGTTCCGAGCCTCGCCGCACTAAGGTGTCTTCATCTGTCACACGGGCTGACCCATCAGGCCCACTACCTACCGGTGGTGAGCAGCTGAAAGGGGAGCCAAGGTGCGCGCTCAGATGCGCCCCTCCCTGTCCCCACCCCACGCCCCAGATACTGCAGAGCTGCGCCATCTCCCGCTAGGAGCTCTCAGCCACCTTGGGTCCAAAGCGCCAGTGCACAGATGAGGAGATCCAGGCCCCGAGGAACTGCCACCCCGGGCATTCCGCAGGAGACCGAGCAGCGGGGACGCTGGCTGGGACTTCCTGGGTTGTGCATCCTGGTGCAGGCGGCCAGCAGACCGAACCTCCCTGGGCAGCCGTCCCGCTGCACCGCCTGCTGCCCGCCCAGACTCCAACCCGCATCACCCGCCCCGAGGGCACTGATTGCATTTGCAGGTGCAGGCGGGTGTCTGCCAGGACACCAGTGCTCCGCAAAGGAAGGTGGGAGATCTCAGAGGCTGCAGGGGCCAGAGCAGGATGGCCTGAGCAACCCTCAGTGAGCCTCAGTCTCCCCGCCTACAAAATGGGCTGCGTAGCTATTCCACAGGCTACTGTGAGAATGAATATGACCCAGGACACGAGGGCAGCCCAACCATGCTGCACGAGTTCAGGGAAGGCAAAAGAGCTGCCACGCAGGGGATGGGGTCAGGTCCTGCAGCAACATCTACTTCCTGGTGACCTCAGGTAAAGCCATGGCACACTCTGGGCCTCAGCCCCGTCAAGCCCGGAATGGGGCTGGCATGAGAGCTGAAGGGCAGAAGGGGGCTCAGACAGGGCCGGGATTACTCACAGCACTCGTCCGGTCCACCTGCGAGGGCAGAGCACAATTTTCTAAAAGGAAAGGATTTGGGGAGAATAAATTCTGCTCCAGGAAATGATTCATTTACTGGTGCCAGAAAGGCCAAGGCACAGAGGGTTAGAGACTGGGCTTGAGGACCCTGCAGGCCTCCACGTGACTCGCGCTGGTCTGTCAGCGGGGCTCCCAGGGGGGTGGGTTGCTGGACGGAGGAGCATGGGTGGGTGGAGGGGTGGAGGAGAAGTGGGCGGGTGGGGGCTGCTTCTGCTTCCAGAAGCTCGAGAGCAGGGTGGGAGGGAGTGGCCTTGAGACCACATACCGCGATCCATTCCTCTAACTTAATCTCATGATCTCTCCTCTGACCTTCAAGCAAATCACCAGTTTCTGTGGGCAGATAATGAGACCTTGGTTTGTTCCTGAAATTCCAGAACCCAAATGACCTTTGTGATCCTCCAAGCTCCACATTCTCCCCGGGACGCCTGGTTACCCCCGCTGGCCAAGCACTTGCAGCCAGGCCCACAGAAACCTTCCGCTTCCAGTTCCGTCTGCTCACTGGGGCGTTGGTGTGAAGAAGCGTGCCCCTGCCCTGCCCCTGCCCTGCCCCTGCCCTGCCCCTGTCCCTGCCTTCTCTCCCCTCTTCCAAGCTTCCCACCCTTCCTCCCAGCTCACAGCAGGAATGTTCATAATGGGCTTTAGGAAGCAAGGAAAGGATCTCCCCCCACCCCCCTCCACCTCCACCTCCATACACAAGGAAGGGAGCCCGGGGACCCTCACCAGGTCTGGGATCTGGGCAAAGCCTCTGGCAGAACTCGCCTGTCCTGGGGCTGGAGGAGGAAGAGTTAACATAGCTGAGATGTTTAAAGGCCCCAAAGCAGGAAACAGCCACGTGGTCATTCTGGTGTGGAGAGTTCAGCCCCCTGGTCACAGAATTCAGAGTCACATGGCTTCCCTTCCAACCCTGGCCCCACCAGGATGGGCTACATGATCTGGTTGGGGGGGGGGCGGTATTTAGCCTCTCTGTGCCTCAGTTTCCCCACGGGGTGGAATGCATCCATGCATTGAACTCTTAGCTCAGGCTCTGGCACATGATGAATGGAAGTCCTCCTCCTCCACTGGGTGTGGCTGGAGAGAAAGTTCCAGAGGAGGAAGTAGACAGAGATGAGGCCAGCTCTGGCCGCCTTCTAAGCTGCATTCAGGAGCTTAGATTTCATCTGGAAGTCCAGGGAAGGCTAGAAGCTTCCAAGCAGGGAAGGGGTTTTAGGAAGCTCCCTGGCTGCAGAATCAGTTCTGTGGACAAGAGTCAGGCCCACCTAGTCCCCAGTGCCTCTCCCGGGGCCTGGGGAAAGGGGAGGCAGGAGGGGCTCCCACCCCTCACCAGATGCAGGGCCCCCCAAGGAGGAGATAGTTTGCGTTCAGGGGATGAATGGAGCAGACAAACATAAAGCCCACTCAGCCAGCGAGGGGACACCTGCCCCCAGCCGGAGCCAGGGCTCACTCGCCTTGTCGGCCAGTGGGAGCAGCATGAGATGGGGGTCCGAGGCCTCGCGCGTGCCAGGTGCTCCCCGGCACAGAGCACAGGCAGGCTGCCCTTCTAAGAAGCAGCAATTCTCTTCCATGGCCCCACAGCATCTCAGCAGCACTCCAGAAGATTAGACACGTCGCCCGGTAAAGTGGGACTCAAGTGGCAACAGCCCCCAGCACCTTCCCAGGGCTTTGGGGAGTCACAGAGGCTCCAAGAGGGCTGGCAGCTGCAAGGGAACTTGGAGCAGTGCCGCTCGGCTCACGCAGAGACACCTGCACCGTTCTCTGGTGACTGACGGAAACTCCCTCGGCCATGTGGGGCGAGGAGAGTTACTCCTCCCTGAGCCTCACACCCCCCAAACCTCGAGCCGGGCACTCGTCTGGATGCACTTGATCTTGCGCTCTTGCAACAGGGACTGGGAATCCCAGGTTTTGACATGGGGTCGGTGCTCAATGTAAGTCTGATGGATGAATGGGTGAATAAATGAGTCAGACCCTGGAGAGAAGCACAATAATGTCACCATATCCCACATGGAAGTTTATGCACCTTCTGGAGCACTGCCTCAGTCCCTCAGAAGCGATTTGGTTTGCTTACGACACTAGTAAGTTTGCCATCCAGATCTCTAGACCACGGGGTGACAGAAGCATGGCACGGCCCGGGGAAGAGCTTCCAGAGGCAGATACACAAACGGCGGCAGGAAGTGATGGCTGAAAGCCTGGCCTCCCGATTCTACAGGAGGTGAGCTCTGTAAACTGCACTCGGTCGGGGCCACCTGGCCCCCTTGTGTAGCCTAGGCTCCTGGCAGCATCACAGGGCGGAGACCAGGTGACTCCAGGCGGTCTGCAGGGCTCGGCCCTGAGCCCAACATGACAGGATCAAGCCCCTCTTGTGCTTGATCCGCTGGATCTGCCTGCACTAGATAGGAAAGTGCCTGCGAGCAAAGCCCTTACCCTGCAGCTCGGCCCTGAGTCGTGCAAACCGTAAGAACCACACCGCTGTGATGTGTGTCCCAGGTGGGTGCTGCACCTGCTGGGTCCAGCTACCTGCCCTTCTAAAGCCCCGGGCACGACAGCCCATGCACCAGACCCCTATTCCCACTTGAAGGACGAGGAGACAGTGGACACACCTGGCAACCACTAAGCTAGCCCTTTACTCTCAGAAAACTACAGGATACATTTTGGAAAGATTCTCATCAAAAATGATTAAATGAAAAGAAACGAAAATGTGTCAGCACTAAAGAGGTGTCACCTTAGGGAGCTGGCGTTCCCTGAGCATGCAGGTGCGCCAGGCGCTGGTTCATCCATCATCTCGCCAAGCACCCGGCAGCCCCGCAGAGCACACCTCATGAGCACAACCCGTTAGAAATTTGGGAGCACCTTTCACAGGACCAGCCTGACACCCCTCCCTCTGGGGGACACCAATTTGTGCTGCACCAGAGCCACTGGGAGTGCGCTCCGCACACATAATTTTAGAATGAATGAAGGAATGAACGATCCTTCCCTCCCCATGACAGAGAAATGAAGAGGAGCCCTGCGCCGAGTTGAAACCCGTGCACCTGAATGCTACGTTTCCATATTTCCCAGCAACCACGCATGATGAGAGGGGTGCCCAGTCTAATTTCTGGCCAACTGGGCCTGTTCTCAGACCAGCTGGGCAGTGACTGGATGCCAGGAAGAGAGGAGAGAAGTTGAAAGACCACAGGGGGAATATTTTCAAGTTAATAAATCCAGGCCAGATGGGTACTCAGATGCGGCTGGTGTCCGAGGCAAGGCAGTTTCTGTGCTTCCATCCTGCCTGTGAGGGGTGTATCCCGGCCACGCTTCGGCTCCATGCCAGACATCCCAACATGGTCCCCTGGGTGTCCCCTGCCCACCTAGGGAGCTCACCTCTGAACCAAGCACTCGGGGCACTGAATGCATCCAGCCTGGGAGGGAGGCACAGCCCCCAGCTTCGTTGGCAGACAGACGGTATGCTGAGGTTCAGAGAGGCCAGGATGGTGCCCAAGGCCACACAGCTTGCAAAGGACGGAGCCAGATTTTACCTCAACGTCCAGTTTCAAATCCATGCTGAAGCCACGTCTGCTGAATGCCCTCTCCAGGGCTCTTGCTCCTGCAGGCTGCTCACCTCCCAGAAACCCTCTCTCTGCCTTGCTCTCCTTTCTGGCGCTGGAAGCAACCCCAGCTCACTCAGGGCAGGACCACACAGGGTCCTGGCCAGAGAGCCAGTGTTCCAGAAATATCCTTCGACCAATGACGGGTAAGCACTCCAGCTTCCTCCATCCTCCATGAGACAACCCCACTGAATGTCCCGCTGTCTCCCCGAGTCCTGCACGGGCTACAGCGAGAATGCCTCACGTTGCACTTGGGCCCTCCCACCTCCCGCCCCTGTTTCTGAGTAAGCCATGTGCACCCGAATGCTTTCTCCTCGCAGGGTCTGCTCCTGGGGAGCCACACCTAGATGCAGCAGAAGAGACAGTACGTGGACACGTGGTTTTGGTTGGGTTCCATATGGTCCAGGCGGGGTGGGCGGACAGAGACGAGAGAAGAATCGAGGTGCTCCATGCTGGACACACAAGGCAAAGAGAGCCCATTTTCTTCTTCCCACCCACCATCCGCAGCTTTTCATGAAGATGTCCTTTCTCCCTGACTCAGGTGATACTGTCAACTAATCCACATTTTCAATGTTGTGCTCTGGAGTCTGTTTTGTGTTTTCCTAAATATTCGTAAAGGATGTTGGGAGATCTCAGGAGAAGCTGCTAGCCAGATGCCACCGAAAACAGGAGGTCCCTCCCCAGCTCTGAAAGCTCAAGTTCTAAGCCCACAAAGGCTCACAAAAAGCCCGCCAGCCCCTCATCCCTGGAAACGGACTCTGCCACACCTTGCTCTGTGGCCGTGCCACATGGCAAATCCCCGAACTTTGCCACCTTAGTCCCAAGCCCTCAGGGGTAAGGGGAGGTGATTACAGAGCAAAGGGGGTCTTGGAGAGTCTGGGCTGGTGGGGAAGGTTGGAGCGGAAACACTGGAAGCTTTTGCAGGCTTCTATTTGCAGAGACATTCCTTCCCACCTCGACGGAAGTTCAGCCCAAAGTGCAGGGTCCCATTGCAATTAGTGCAGGCAGCGCTGCAGCCACAGATGGTTTTATTCCTTTTCCCATTGCCCATCCCCTGGAAATCCCTGAGCCCCGTTCACACTGGTGGGGTGCCACACTCCTCCCTGCAAGATGCTTCCCAGGCCAGGTCTCTGGAGTGTGCCGGAAGGTTTCACCCCAAGGAAGCCTGTGTGGGCACCTGCCGAGTGATTTATGGCACGCCTGTTTCATTTAGTCCTCTAGAACATAAATCTGACTGGATGCATTTACAAAAAGAAAACGGCATGCTATACCATATATCTCTACATTCTGTTATTACATATTTCATTGATTCTAGGACCTGCGTTGTTTTTTGCTTTTCACATCTCTAAAATCAGAATGTGGCTTATAATCAATGCCATTCCTTAGTGGTGAACAAAATAATGATGCATCTAAGAAAGTTTTTAGATGGGATGAAATATGGTCTTTGAAATTTTTAAATACACCACGGTGAAGACTGCACCTCTTTTTATTGTTGACACCCTGCCTCTCCTAGTCCACAGACACTCACCACGTACTAGCTCATGGTAATGAGGGCAGAGTCCCTTAAAATGGATTTGCACTAGAGATAAGAAATTCTGCTTAATGGTTAATCAAATTCGCCAAAGAGGGGACTTTGGCAAGTCATCAAAGGCACCTCCCATTCCACAGCCCTATCCATGTTCCCCTCAGGCTCACGGGAGCACACACACTTCCCACAGGCTAATCATGTTGCCTCCCTTCTTAAATAGCCCAGAGACCTCCCTGTCGCCTCTGGGTGAGGTCACGATTCCCTAGCAAACACCCAGAGCCCATCACCCTCCTAGAACCTGCATCTGGATCCTCTGTCCCCCATCAAGGGCCCACCCTCCCTGTTCCCTGAACACACACCCTCTCTCCTGCCTCAGGCCCTTTGCACATGCTATACCCTCAGCCCTTCTCC